ACTTGGTTTTTACCTTCGATATCTACTGGTGTACCGCGTTCTAGTAGCAATTTAGCCACCTAAAATGACAAGGGTTATCAAGCCTAAGGGAGCAAGTCCTTGTGACTGCTTACCTCAACGTTTCCGTATTTGCTGGCCAGATGAAGCGGAGTGAAACCTTTCTTCGTCAAAACACCCTTTTCGGCATTGTGGTCGAGAAGTATCGCTGCTACCTCTTCCTGTCCTTCCTGGAAAAGGGCAAATTCAGAAATCCATCTTGGTCTTGGAGTCATGGGTTCACCTTAGCGGCAATATGCAGTGGTGTATATTGGTCCCTAGTGGCCGCATTGGAGTTGGCACCAGCCTGTAGCAGCAAGACGACGATATCCGTATTACCGAGTCGACTAGCGATGTGCAAAGGTGTTTGAAGCTCGCGCGCTTGAGCATCAACCTGGAGCGAGTCAGGTTAACTCAGATATGGAACCTCAATGGTATATACGGGGTCTGGCCAAGAAAGCCTACCTTGGCACCATTTCTGATCAAAACACGGACAACGTCAGTTTGATTTGCACGTGCTGCCAAATGTAAGGGTGTTTCGCCGCGGACCGTTGCTACATCAGGATTTGCACCCTGAAAGATGGGGCATTAAAATTATATTCATACAGCACGCAGGATATAGGTAGTGAGTCACCGCGTGACTCACTACCTATAACTGCGTCAGAGCTATGTTGCACTAGTCAAGTGCATCACAATCATCGATGACTCATGCTGCATATCTCTGTGCTATGAGCAGAAAACGCAGTGCAACTGACCTGCTGTAGCAGATAGATGACGATATTGATAGCTCCCATAAACGAAGCCACATGAAGAGGTGATAAGCCTGATTCCGTGGTGGCTTCGATGGCAGCATGGTACTTCAATAGTAGTTCTACCACCTAAAGGTAATCGTAGTAATTTCGTCTTCCTTCGAACTCGCTTTGCAGCTCTCCTTACCTTGATTCTGTTCTTTTTGCAAGCAATATGCAACGGTGTAAAGCCATTTAACGCTCGGGCATTAGGATCAGCGTTACGATCGAGAAGCAGTTTTGCTACCCTGCAATAAAAATTTATGACTTACCATCCTGATCTTATATTTTACCCGGTTACTTACCTAACGTGCCCACAATGAGCTGCAACGTGGAGAGGTGTTAGGTAGTCAACTGTGACATCATCGACTGGCGCTCGGTGATAGAGGAGGATTCGAGCCGAATCCACATGATCACCTTGAGCAGCCATGTGCAACGGGGCGAGACCATTCTGAAATAA